TCTCTCTCTCTCTCTCTCTCTCTCTCTCTCTCTCTCTCTCTCTCTCTCTCCCTCCCTCTCCCCCCAAATTTAGCTGATCAGCCTGTCAAAGACTCAAAAACATAGTACAAAGATACCTAACCCCCTCATGCTACTAGGGCGGGACCACGGCTTGCGTAATGCAGATGCCCTCAAAAAATACCACTCCTGAATTACCAATTATGCTTCACTTTCTCCATTGAGATTTTGCTTACAACCAACCAAGACTACAAGGTTTCCCATTCTAGAAGAGACAACTATGTGCAACGCAATATAGTAGTACCTCTTTTGTTGTTTGTCCTGGAGCGAGATGCTCTTTTATCAAAACAAGAACCATAAATGGTGCTGCTCCATATGGAGAAAGCATATCCATGGTTAGTTTGTGTAGCCTTTCGTTCCATCACATTTTTAGTTTGAATTCGACCGTGAATTTTATTCTAATTAATTAGATATGAATTTTATATTCTTATTGATAATTTTAATCTAAAATCTAATCAATTATATCTAATTTCGTTGATTTAAATTTGATTATATTGATAACTGATCCAACACGCTCTACCAATTTATGATGAACGTGAGTGAAAGTGGACATGTGCAGTTTCGTGTCCCCAATACATGTAAATTTTAAGTTTCTTAAAAAAAAAATAATATATATAGTACTCAATAAACGTAATTTTGTAAGTGATTATGTGCGTTTTGAGTTTATGTTGTAACTAAAAGTTCAAATGAAATCAAATTAGGGTTCTTGGTTTTGAATAAAAGGATAAGTTGAAGGATGGATCCAGTAGTGTACACATGTAAATGCTTTTAAAAAAATTCTAAGGGGACAGTTCTAAAAGACACCCTACTAGGCGAAATCCTAGAATGAGGATCTATTAGTTATTATTATTATGATGATAGTATACAATATTTATATAGCTATTTTAATATTAAAATATATTTATTTACAAATAATTTTCTTACTTTGAAGGCCAAATTACTATTGAAATTTTTGCTTTCAAATTTTCTTAACATATCATTTAAATTGGAAAATTCTTTCAAGTACCAATAGATTATAGAATAGTAACATAACAAGTTTTAAGTCCTTTTTTTTTTTTGAGTCCCGTAAGCAAGCGATGTTTATGTTGTCATGATAATAGAAATAAGTTTTTAACAGATTTAATTTGAATTTAAACAAATCAAAAATAAATAATTCCAAATTAACCAAAGTGGTTAAAAGGAAAGGGACGAGGGAAAAAATAAATAAGAAATCTATAACATAAAATCGTAGTATCATGACTAATAAAATGGATCTCATATTAGTATAAAAATTGTAAAAATATTTAACTTCATTGAACTTGAGTCTAAAAGTTTTTCTATAATTTTTTTTAGGGTCCGCAAAAACAAATTTTATTTGATATCTAAACCAAAATTAAAGTTAATTAAATGTGGGTACAAATTTTTTTTTTTTGGGGACATGAAAATAAAATTAAAGGGAATATTGATCCAAATTTTATTTTTTTTGAGTCTTAAGAGAAAAACTGTGCTTAACTAAAATTACTTATTAATTTTTTTGGGGACCCTTGAGAGAAAATCAGACTAAACTAAACATTGATCTAAAAATTATGTTTGGAGCCTTGAAAATAAGTAGAATTAATTGAACTTGAACCCAAAATAATTGATATAATAATTTAAAATTAATTTAAGGATTAGTATTATCTTCTTCCTTCTTTTTTTTTTTTGGTATATAAAATGAATACACAAGTAGGCCACTCCATATATTCGTCATAGAGCATTGCTCCTCGACACCACATAACTATTTGTAGGGGACACAACCGCACTTTTATCAGGACCAAAACTAAAGTTTCAACACATGTTTTAGTCTCTAAAGAATAAGTTTAATCTCAACGAACTAACATAACTATAAAAACTCAAATTCAAATATTGAGCAAAAAAAATTTAAGTTATTATCCACTAAACCAACATCTCCTTTATTTTATCCTCTTCCTAAAATGTTTGCCTACCTCGTCACCTAAATGAGTTTTCTCAAATCTCAATGTGTACGGGCAGGGATACAACAAGCGTGCCGTTCTCCAAAATGACTTTATTTTATATGTGAAATAACATTGTTTTAAGCACCGACATTTCTACAGCAACATAGAAACTTTATCCAAGTGTATGTTTGTGGTTAGATTAAAATACACAACATTCATCTCCCGGATTGTTTTGCTCATTCATGCACAAAGTCAAACATAACCCAACATCTCATTTAAGTGTTTCATCCAGATTATTTTGGGATTTAAATATTCTCTCTACACTTTGACTCAATGTCAGATCATCCTGTTGTATGTGAATGAATGAATGATTCATTTATTAATTTTGTGGTTCCACTTAAATTCTTAGTACATGATCTACAATTGTATAAAAAAAATAATAAAAAATATAGTAAATAGGATTTCATTGCTTTATTTTTCGGCAAGCAATCTTCAAAGATTCATTTCCAAATCGTTAATCCATCAAGCATCCCAAACTTGGTAGCAGTAATCTTTTTACACCAATAATCTATTCTAGCTTTTTATTTTTTTTGAAAATATAATCAATTCTAGTAGAACTCCTCCTAAAAAAAAAAAAATCGATACCGGACCATCATTGCTTATTTCAATCAATAAGGTCAATAAATATAATTTATCTCATTTGTAACATTAGCATTTCTGATTTAAGATGTATAATTTCAAATAAATAGATGAAATTAGATTATGGTTCCTGAATCATACCTTTTATTTGTAACGTTGTTTTAAAAAAAAAAAATTTATAATTTTTTAAAAATTACACATATTATTTTTGTTTGATGGAAAATAAAAGTTCCATAGAGTTGTTGGACTTGGACCCATCAAGTCAGGTTGGCCACCCTTAGCCCTTAGGGGTCCTGTGGGGGCTGCAAGACCTCGTCCATTATCAAAAAAGTTCCTTTCCGTACACACCCACAGCATTCACGTGTACGTAACAGGTCTTCAAATTGTGGCCCGAACCACTCTACAGCACAGCTACCAATCAAAATTCGACAACGCACTTGACGAAACCACCCTGGTTTGCAAAACCACACTTACGCAAACGTGAAACATTTTAACCCTCCCTATGTACAATGTAACCCCAAGTAGATACATAGATAGGAGGAGCACTATATTTATCTTACATCACACACTGAAAGAAAGATAGATTCCCACCAAATCCTGAGCAAGAAAGATAACCAAATATAGAGGGATACAGGTAGAGAGAGAAACATGATCTCACCTGTCTTTCTCTCTAGTTTTTCTCTCTAAAATCCATGCGCAGACAAGTCTTCTTTCCTGTGTCTGAAGGTCCAAGAGAGGGGAGAGAAAATGGGGAGGGGAAGGGTTCAGCTGAAGAGAATTGAGAACAAGATCAATAGGCAAGTGACTTTCTCTAAACGCCGATCTGGGTTGCTCAAGAAAGCTCATGAGATCTCTGTCCTGTGCGACGCAGAGGTGGCGTTAATTGTTTTCTCTACCAAAGGAAAGCTATATGAGTATGCTACGGACTCTTGGTACGATTTTTCAATCTTCTTTCATATTTTGTTTCCAGTTTTTATCTTCATTGCGTCTTTTTTGATTTGATCTTATCAGTAGCCACCTTAAATTCACTGATTTTATGTACTTAATGTACAAATTTTTTCTGGTATATGGTGCCTACCCGAAGACTTACATGAAAAGCAATTAAGAACAACGGAGATCCGATGAGAACTTTTGAGTTGTTTCTGGTCTTTCACATCAAAATAATCGCTTATGATTTCGAACAAAATAAAAAGTACATGTGATTCTTGCCAGAGTACGAGCCCGTCGTTGGAGGAATTAAATTTTATGTAATATACTCTAAATAGTAAAGTTGAATATTTTTTCGGGTTTAATTGAGTTATCTACTCGAATCCAAAGCTCTATAGTTCCTGTTTCTCTGATGCATGTGCATATCTGTTTATCTTTTTGTTTTTCCTTTAGATTTTATCGGCTGAAAACTCTTAAGAATTCTTCAAATATATACACATTAGTCCTAATCCATGCTCGAAGTCACAAAAAAAATTTAAGAGGGATTTTGGTCAATGAGTCTATTTAAACCGAAAAATGGGCTATTGAAAGTTGTCCTGTTTTATTTTTATGTATGTATGTATATGTATGCATTTTTTTTTGTTGGCTTGTCACTGCATTTTTATATGGCATGCAGAAACTAGCCGAACTTTCTTTGTTCCTACACCCACAAGCACTACCCAGATATATAAATTATGTACGCACCACACCTAGCTATGTCATACATGTAATGGTGTGTAATGTGTTAATCTATTTTTGAGCTGTTGAGTGTTTAGTCCCGATCAAACGAGTACTTATTTTGAAATGGTATTTTAGATTTCAGCTTGTCAATGTGCAATCATATATGTTCGTTTCTCTAGTTGCCCTTTAGTTNTGACTTTCTCTAAACGCCGATCTGGGTTGCTCAAGAAAGCTCATGAGATCTCTGTCCTGTGCGACGCAGAGGTGGCGTTAATTGTTTTCTCTACCAAAGGAAAGCTATATGAGTATGCTACGGACTCTTGGTACGATTTTTCAATCTTCTTTCATATTTTGTTTCCAGTTTTTATCTTCATTGCGTCTTTTTTGATTTGATCTTATCAGTAGCCACCTTAAATTCACTGATTTTATGTACTTAATGTACAAATTTTTTCTGGTATATGGTGCCTACCCGAAGACTTACATGAAAAGCAATTAAGAACAACGGAGATCCGATGAGAACTTTTGAGTTGTTTCTGGTCTTTCACATCAAAATAATCGCTTATGATTTCGAACAAAATAAAAAGTACATGTGATTCTTGCCAGAGTACGAGCCCGTCGTTGGAGGAATTAAATTTTATGTAATATACTCTAAATAGTAAAGTTGAATATTTTTTCGGGTTTAATTGAGTTATCTACTCGAATCCAAAGCTCTATAGTTCCTGTTTCTCTGATGCATGTGCATATCTGTTTATCTTTTTGTTTTTCCTTTAGATTTTATCGGCTGAAAACTCTTAAGAATTCTTCAAATATATACACATTAGTCCTAATCCATGCTCGAAGTCACAAAAAAAATTTAAGAGGGATTTTGGTCAATGAGTCTATTTAAACCGAAAAATGGGCTATTGAAAGTTGTCCTGTTTTATTTTTATGTATGTATGTATATGTATGCATTTTTTTTTGTTGGCTTGTCACTGCATTTTTATATGGCATGCAGAAACTAGCCGAACTTTCTTTGTTCCTACACCCACAAGCACTACCCAGATATATAAATTATGTACGCACCACACCTAGCTATGTCATACATGTAATGGTGTGTAATGTGTTAATCTATTTTTGAGCTGTTGAGTGTTTAGTCCCGATCAAACGAGTACTTATTTTGAAATGGTATTTTAGATTTCAGCTTGTCAATGTGCAATCATATATGTTCGTTTCTCTAGTTGCCCTTTAGTTACGTGCAGAAGACAAAGAGAGAAAGCCAAGCAAAAACGGAGAGAGAGAGAGAGAGAGGGGGAGGAATCTTTTAGATTATTACAACGTAGCTCAATAACATCTCAAATAAATAAGAATTATTAAATTAGTGAGTTTTATTTAAAAAAATTAATAAAACTCGTCCATTCAATAATCTGGATCATTTGAGATGTTTTTGATTCAAATTTGAGTTAAATAACATTTTTCTCAAATATTGCAGCTTTAGTCAAGTTCTGAACAATGTAGTACTGATATTTTAGGGGTAATCAAGTTCCCCAACAGTGTATAGGAGCTATGAAGTCATTTCAGGCTCTACATAGTAAAGTTGGCTAAGTCAATGGCTAGCTGGTGCTATGCAGTTTTCAGAAAAGAAACTTAGTTACAGTAATTGAACAAGGACATGGAATCATTGAATTAGGATTGACTTATTCTCAATCAACTTGTTAACACAAGCAGTAAATATGGTGTATTATTTTCAATTATGAATAGTTCATTATATAATAAACCTATTTAGCTGGTATAAAATGAAAAAAAAATTGATCTCTTTCAAAATTTTAACTTCTTGATTTGACTCCTTCTAGACTTATTAGATGATTTTTTTTTTGCTTTTGCAAGCATTTGGACCATTGAAGTGGCACCTATCATACGTTTTGAAAGAGAAAGAGGTCCTGATTCTTGATTCTTGATTTATGATGCATGGGTTATGCATGTTGATCCGGAGACAAATAAGTCACAAATAACAAGACCCGAAGACAACATAACCGGACTTGATTATCACTCCTAATAGAGATAGGCCTGATTTATTTTATTGGAAACGAAGTACTGAGAGTACCTGCAATTAGTCTCATATATACTTTACTGTGTTCATCACCGGAGGACTTGAAGGCTCTCGCTGTTTCGCATGCACATAAAGAGACAGTAATGCCATACACATTGCCAATGACAGTAAAACAAACATTATTAGTCTCGTCAGCATTAGTTATGAATGAAGTTGAAATTCATGGTCTGGCAAGTGGGGGGGATATTGGAGTCTTATCATGTTATTTTTGGATCTTGAGAGATTTGAGTTATGCAATTTTTATTGGTGTTGCTTACTTTTTTTTTGTGGTTAATTTGTGCGTGTAATCCTTTTATTTATTTTTTTGGAAGGTAAATAGTTTATTGATCTGAAAATATAAGATGTGAAATAAAGCTCAAAACATGTCTACAAGGACCCAAGGATTAGTATGCAGAAGAATCTATTCCACACAAACTACAAACCTAGCCTAGAATTTAAAAAGAGGGACTAGAAAGGAACTTACCTATTCAAACAAATTTCATTGTAATCCGAGGCAATGCACAAAATTCTTTCATAACACAAGGGAGTAAGTATAATCACTAAGAAGGTTTGTTCTCATAAATTTTGGCTTGCTCTTTTGCTTAGTTGAAGGAGGGCTATACAAGACTTGCTTGAAAGAGCTAGAAGTCCCTCTTTTTGCACGAGAATCTTTCATATGTTTTATTCTCGCTTGAAGCCTTCTTCTATTCTCATCCCTAGATGAAGATTCACCAACCTTTAAGTTGTTGGAAATATCAGCCCTTATCTCATCAATTCCATCCTTAGTACTCCCCTCATGATTTACATTGAGAGAACAAGATGATGAGATATCCTTGTTTTTTTCTTTCCATATCTGCAAGGGGAGCTTCACAAACTTTTTTCCCCTTTTCTATCAAAGCTCGTTCTTCTTCCCTTTGCATTCATTCATTCCCATTGTCCTTCTTTTTCCTCTCCCACTTGGGAGAAGGGGTTTTGGAGATAAAGTACATCCTGAAGAGGAATGACCAAGCAGTTTGTAATGTTTGCATTTACGAGGTTTCCATGGAGCAACTACATTAATTTCATGAAGTATATCACCTTCAAGTCTAATTTTGAAGGACTTGGGTAGGTCCTTGGTTGCCTCAATCTCAATGCGCACCCCAGCAAAACAAAGTCTACTCCTTGATTGAGTAGAGGCATCAAGATACAAGAGTGTTCCTAGTACACTTCTAGAGTAACTAAGGCCATCTTCATGCCAAAGTTGTAATGGAACATTAAAGAGGTTCACCCAAATTGGTACACCTGAGAAGTTAGCATGTGTCAATTTAATTTTTGGGTCCCATCTCTTCAATATAAGAACACCACCACAAAAATATTGCCTACCTTCAAAGGAATCTACTGAGAGCTTTCTCATCCTTGGTTTAGAAGATGTAAAAACCATCAGGTAGGCTAAAAACATCTTTAACACCATCAACCCTTTCATCAAAACCTGCTACAAGACAAAATTCTCATTTTCTCCCAACCAAGAAAAAAATTGACAAATATTGATCTATGTAAATTAAGAATCTTCTTGATCCACATCCTAACAGACCAACTTAAAAATAATTTAGGTGCCCAAAAATTCGTATCATATTAGATCAAGAAATAAAGAAAAAATTAGACCTTGCCCTAGGGTGCTAGTATTCTGAAGGGACAACGAAGGTGAATCTCCAAGATGAAAGATTAGGGAAGATAATTGGTGCAGCTTATGTAGTGAAGCTGTAGAAACCTATTTGCATATTCTTAAAGATCGTCCCTGTGCAATAGAGCCATGGAAGCTTAGCACTCAATTAGTTTGGCACTCCCAAGATCTTCCACTAGATCAATGGAGACAAGAAGTGCATCAAAAGCTAACCCATGATGGCTTCCCATTATTTCTTACTTATTGCTGGTTGATATGGAGAAACAGAAATGATGCCATCTACCAAGATACCAAACAATTGTTGGCTGAAATAGCAAGAGGTGCAAGGGAGTATCTCAGCCAGTACTGAAGAGTGTCGGAACCTGAAAACTTTAGCTCATCCACCTCATCCACAGGTTAACGGAGTGTTTTGTTAATTTACTAAATATTGTTAATTTACTAAAAAACTGCTTTACCCTAAGGCTTGCTGGAGTTTATAAAATAATAGAAACCCTAAACCAGCTAGGAAATTAGAATTCTAATTAAATTAGAAAATCAAATAAAATAAAATTCTAATTAAATTAAAAAATAAAATAAAATAGTTTCCCAATTAAATTAGAAAATAAAATAAAATAAAATATTCTAGAATTTTCTAATTTAACGAAATTGACCATATTCAAATAAAATACTAAATATATCCCGAGATAAAGTTGAAAATCAAGAATCCAAAATTTTAACCTTTCAATTGATTATTTTTTGGGCCTCGAGGGAAAAAGAGTATCTTCTAATATTATTCTCTCTCAGCACAAATATGCCTCGGCTCTTCTTGAGCGTGCTTCCATGACCAATGGTAAACCCAATTCATAACCGGCTTGTGCAAGATTGTCCACTGGCCTTACTGATGACGTTGAGTTTCATGATTTGCAACACTATCGTAGCTTTGCTGGTAATCTCTAGTATTTGAACATCCGAGTCCCTGATTTGTCCTATGTAGTGAAAAACTGTCAGCATGTACATAATCCATTCAATTAACATTTTATTGCGGTCAATCTGTCTATAACATTGAAAAGTTCTACGAATCTACTTTCTAGCACAAAAAATGGTGCATCATTTTAAATTTTTTACGGGGAATTATGGCAATTTTATTACATACAGGCTGTCCGATCTGTCTAAGTCAATCCAAAAATGAGTGTTTTAATTTTGTTTAGTCTTCTTTTTACTAGTTTCTTATGTTTCCGAGAGTCTTTTATAGGTACTAAATATTTTTATACCTTCTACTTTTATTTGGTTAAAGGTCTTTGGTTTCCATTAAATATTTATCTTGAAAATATAAGTTGCCAGCACCTATACTTGAAGGGGGGTGTTCCAAGGTAAGTCAATGAAATTATACCCTTTGGTTTATTTGAATAAGAGCAATGCTATTGGAATTTAATTTATTGATATAATTTATTGACCGAATTCATTATGATCTTTGGATTCACCGTAAACCCCATTAAATATTGAAACTTGGTGTTGATCCAATGATTTCTATAACATCACATCATTATGTCAGCAAATTAGGTCAGATTTTTAGGTACAAATAGTATTACTCTTTGAATTAGGTTTCCTTCTAGTGTAAATCTTATTCTTTCGGTGAATTTTTCAATTGGTGGCAAGCTTCTACTTTGTATCTCTTTGGTGGATTTCATTGAGTGACATGTTTATTTACTACCTTTGAATTGTTCCTTGTGTTATACCTTATTTCTCTTCATTTTTCGATGTCGAATTGGTATCAGAGCAATCCTATTGTGTTTCTTGTGGTGCATAACAAAACAATGATAGACATGTATGGACGATCAAGAGACCCAAAAGACGTTGATGTGGAAGATTTAATGACACAAGTGCAACAAATCCAGCTGTTTCTTGAATGCTGTCAAGCTTTTATATCATGATGAATTTGGTCATGATGTGATCATGGACTATCTACCGATTTGATAGGAACTTTTGACTATCTCACACCAGAAATTTTTCTAACAAGAAAGGAAGCTATTACTTCTTACGTGTGCACTTTTGGGATAATTATGATTGAACCGACTTGTAGAAGGAAGACTATGGATGTCAACGGATTAGCTGAACAAATGATTTTGGTCGATTGAGTTCTTTTACTCATGTTCAAAGATCCTAAGTTTCCAGTTGCTTTGAATGTAAGATTTAAGCAACTAAAATAGTTTGCGGGTCAAAAGCCTAAATTCAAAAAATTTAAGCTGCTTGATGAGCTTAGTGAGTCATCATCTAAATTTACAAAAAAATATATCGTTCAATTCATCATCTAAATTGCTTGATGAGCTTAGTGAGTCATCACTTGAGCGACCAATTGTATTTTTCATTATAACTACAGACATAATACAAATTCACTATTATAGTGCATAAATATCACAACAATAATAACAACAAATACCATTAAAAAAATTGTTGGAATAATAAAGGTTGGTCTTGGAATAATTGATAGGGGCTGCTACATGCATCAGTTGGAATAATAGCAAAACACATTCACAAATGAGAATCAATACATTAACTATTTAGAATAATAGATATTTTTCGACGATATGCTTGTAACATAATCAAGGCCCATAAAATTAAACATGCTACAAGTACCACATCATATCACAATACTAATAATATTGTTCCATAATAATAAGTTATATGGTAGAAACACATATAAACAGGTAAGCCAACTGTGGATATTCATGCCCAAATAGTTTCATATATGACTAATCAAACAAAATGACACTTAATCTAGTGTGTCAAGCCACTCTTTCCTACGCAATGCAGACATTTTAAGAAACATTTGACGCCACTCAGGGTCCTTGATCTTTGCACAAGTACGAAAATATTGAT